GGGTTCGGGGTATCACCGGAAGCCCCAAGAGCCAAGGAGAGATTGGCCAAGCTGTGCAGGGACATGGCAGGGCAGGCACAGCCCTAAAATCTCTCCCCGGGGACACGTGTGGTGGTCAGCAGAGACCTGGAAAGCAGCCGTGATCCCCCAGCCCTGCAGCCTCCGAGACACCCAGGAATTCTGGGAGGACCGTTTGCCTAGGGCAGCCGGGCCATGCATACACATCTGCATAGACACACATGCAGGGGGAAGGGCAGCAGTGGGGAGGAGGAACTCAATCCCCGAAACAGGACTGGTCTACATTCATGGAACAGTTGAACCCTTCATATAGATCAGCACCAAGTTCACATAGCCCCAAGGAGCAGGGCTGATCACCAAGGTAGGATCTGAACCTGGGTGCAGCAGGAGAGTGGGCGCAGAGGATGGGGCATTGAGGGATATACAGGAGTCTGCCGGATGAAGCTCCCAGCAAAAAGCATGCTGCCATTGGCTTTTGGTCACTTAATCAGTGACTTCCTCCAGCCCCTGCTCCAGACACGACAACTGCTGGCACGGCGCTGGCTTGCTGCGGTGGGAGGAAATCTTCCTCCATGGGTCTCTGGAGACAGCCCATCTGGCAGGTCTGGTAGTAGGCTGTCTCTCTTCTTGGCACTGGTATTTGTGGTCAGGTGAAACTGGCCCTGAATACCTGCTCCTCCTGGAGTGCTTGCTGCCTGTCAGGTGCCTGGGCACTGGTTTCTGTGCTCCTCCGTCTCTTGGCCGCAGAGATGGACTGCTGGCCTGCACACAGCATGACCAAGGACTCGGAGAGACACATGGCTTCCCCCCAGTGCCCAGAAAATGCATGCAGTAATTGTGGAAGGATCCTAACTTACTGTCGGGGCTCCAGAGGCCCTGCCGTGGCATGTCCTGGATGTGGCATGACAGATGGCCAGAGCTAGCTCTGGGGTAGCAAGGGGACCAGGGAGCCAAAGCAGGAGTGTCCCCAGGGCAGCCATATCCCTGGGGCAGCCTGACCGAGGACCACATCCTGGGGTGGGGGTGGGGACTCAGTCTGGCGGCTCAGAGTCCACCCAAGGTGCCCCTATGTAGACTCCTTCTGAGGCTCTGAGGGAGAGTTTGAGCTTTGCCCTGGTGCCGTGGTGGCTGCGAGTTGGGCTGCTAACCACAAAGCCAGCAGTTCAAAACCACCAGCCGCTCCTCAGAAGAAAGAGGAGGCTTTCTGCTCCTATAAAGAGTTACAGTCTCAGAAATCCCCCGGGGCAGTTCTAGCCCATTCTACAGGATCGCTATGAGTTGGAATTGACTCACGGCAGTGAGTTCGTGTTGTGTGTGTGTTTGGTGACAGCCAGCGACCCTCCGTGTTCCTAGGCTTGTGTACACAACACTCCTGCCCCTGCCTCTGTTGCCACATAGCATTCGCCCGGTCACTGTGTCTCTTTGTTACAAAGCCACCCGCCATACAGGCTGAGCACCCACCTACTGACCTGTGAACTGATTACACACAAAAAGTCCCTGTCTGCAAAACAAGGTCTCGCTCACAGGTTCAGGGGTTAGGACTTCATGTATCTTTTGTGGGGGACACAGTCCCTCTCGTCACAGTCGGAGTGGGGTGACCGCAGGCTCTTGAGCTCCCCACCCCCAGTGTAGCCCTCTGCACTACTCCCTGCGAGGTCTCAAGCCACTGGGACCGCCCCATCCAATGGAGCGAAGCTGTTTCCACCACAGTGTTGGTGTGGGGCGCCTGCTCTGGTCCAAGCCGGGAGGGGGTCCTCTCCTTCTGGCTGCACTCCTTTGCCCAGGAGCCTTGAGTTGAGTGGATGCAGGTGGTCGCCCAGCTGTGCAGGGTCTCTGAACATTTCTACCCTGACTGCCCGCAGATCCCAGGGCCAGCAGGATGGCGTGGACAAACCCATCAGCCGCCCGAGCCAGGGCTCCACACCATGCCTGCTGAAGCCTACGTGCCGTCTGAGCAGGGACTTCCGTCCTGAGGTCTCCGGAGACAATCCTCAGCATGAAATCGCATTAGAGGCAGGAGATTGTCTGGCCAAGAAGAGACTGTTCTCCGGCATCTCTTAGACAGTGTTCTGAGCAATGTGGGGATTAGCTTTGGGAAGGAGGCCCTGCCGAGACGCAGCTGCTTGCATGGCGTCCCCTCCCACCCGACCCTGGCCTCAGAGAGAGGCAGCGGCATTCAGCTGTTCCCAAACCAGTTCTGATTCTCCGGATGGAATTGCTTTCTCAGCACACTGAGTTGGGGACATGTCTCCCAGCATGGTTCATCAGCACCTGCCCTCCTAGGTGCCAGGCCCAGGCCTGGGTGGGGGTGACCCAGAGAAGATGGGTTGCTAGGAAATCCTTGCAGAAGGCCAGCTGCTGTGCGAAGCACACCCTGGGAACGTGGTCATGAAAATTGTGCGTGAGGGTGCGCGTGTGGGTCTGCAAATGTGTGTATGACCGCATGGACACACTCACCCTTAACTGCACATGCACACTCACACTTCACACGTGTGCAGAATGAGGAGCCTGAGGGGTGCAGGCTTCTGGGGGCCCGCTAACCTCAAAGTCACAGTTGGAAACTGGCTGCCACTCCTCAGGGAAAAGACGAGGCTTTCTGCTCCCGTAAAGACCTGCAGCCACAGGGACTGCAAGGGACCGCTCCGCCACCCTGTAGGGTGGCCACGAGTCAGCGACTGGAGGGCAGTGGGTTTGGTGTGCGTGCGTCGATGTGTGCACAAAGATGCCTGCGTGTGTGCCGGAGTGCCCACGTGGGTGTCTGGGTGTATGTGCTGTGAGCAGGCACGTGAGCCTGTGTGTGGACTGCCCGGTTCAAGCCAGGCTCCGTCGCTGGGCCTCTGTGAGACTGAGCAGGGTCCTCATGGCCCACGTGCAGTGGGCCTCAGAGGGGGACAGAACCCCTGCAGTGGTTCCAACAGGCACATCTACTGGCCTGGGCCTGATGGCACAAACAGGGAGTAACCACCGCCAGGGACATCCCTCCTGGGGAACAAGGGTGCCACGCACGCCTGGGAGGTCCTCAGAGATGCATAACTATGGGTGTCGGAATCAGCTCCCCAAAGCCACCCTGGAACTGGTTGGGTGGGGGGTGCTGAGGGACCACGCCCATCTCACATGGAGAGGGGTGGGTGGGCAGTGGCCCTCAAGGGGACCTGGTATGACTCGGAGGGACTGCCCCTGCTGGGCCCGTCACCCATCCAGCAGACCCCATGCACCTGTGGGTCCTACCCCATGAGGGAATCATCACAGTGTGAATGCAGTGTCCTGGAGAAGAGGGAGTCTGTCACGATCATAACTGTGGTGCTCACTTTCTAGGGGGTCTCCGAACTCCCCCACTGCTGGTGCTCAGGGACGGGGAGGGCCTTTCCAGTTTCAGGAGAGCCCTGCTGTCCCATTTCCCACCGCCGCTTGATGTAGGTCACCCAGGCTGCTGGGAGGGCTATGCCTCAGCCCCCTGCCTTCCACTTTGTCCGGGGACAAGGCTCTGGGTGGGTGCTGGCAGGTGCAGGCCCCGGCACCACAGTGGTAGTGACAAGGTGTGGGTGGAGGGTGGAGTCCAGTCTCCCCATTTACCGGCTTCCACTTGACCATGTGGTGGAAAAGGAATGTCAGAAGGCCTGGGGGTCCCAGAGGACTACTGCTGCAGGCTGGGGACCATACCCCCACCCACCCACCCCACCCCACCCCCGAGTCCTGCCCCCACCAGAGTCAGCAGCCAGGGATGGTGGTACTGGGCATGGGGGAGGGCACTTCTTCAGGACAGGAAGACATAGGCAAGCATGGAGGGCGACAGCAGTCTGACGTGACACGCTCTGACCCACATGGCAAGTCCCCAGTGGAGAAACCCTCGCCCTCGCCCAGCTGCCTGTGAACCCCACGAAGACACCAAGCACCCACGAAGCTTCCACACAGCTGACCTTGGAGACCGCCTAGCCAGGGGTTGGGTGCCCAGAGATGTCCCTGCTCAGAATATCTGCCCCAGCTGGGTTCTAGGGACCGTGGGGCCATAGGGGACTGAGTTTCCTGAAAGCACCCTGGGAAACTACGAGCCCACAAGTAGAAGCCCACCTGCTGTGTGCCCCCACGGAGGTGGGGGGGGGGGAGTGGCAGAGGGGTAGGTGTGAGGATGGGATGACCACTAGGCTAGTGTCCTTGGCAACATCGCTCCCTCCATCCCGGACCGCTCTCTCCACAGTGCCCACACCAACCAAGTAGGTATGCCCCTACCCAGAGTCCCAGAATTAGTTTACACTCCCGGCTGGCCAAGTGCTTGGCCAGGTGCTCATGGTCTGAGTAGAGTTAGGTGAGAGAAGGCCCTCAGGCATGCAGGGGGGCGGGGTCAGCACTGAGGAGAGAGGCAGCGGTCTGGGTACCCTGAGGTTGGTGGAGTGGGCACCCAGTTTCTGTGGGCCACTCTCCTATGCAAGGTTTTGGGCACCTCTCCCCAGACGTGGGAGCTGTCACAACAGAGGACTTGAATTGTAAGCATTGGGGCATCTTTCAGTTCTAGTGTTTACCTCCAGGCCAGGCATCCCCCGGCCCACTCTCAAAGCTGGGGCGAGCCAGGCCAAGTGGAGGGGCAGAGCGAGTGTCTAGAGGGGCCAGTGCCCAGGGCCCCTATGCCGGGTGAGCAGGGGTTGCCGCCCAGAGCCTTTGGTGCAGTAGTGGACCAAGGAGTTAGGGGCGGGCTGAATGCCTTTCACAGCTTCACTTTGTGCGCCTGCAGTGGCTTCCGGGAAGCATGGGGAGGAAAGAGTTAAACATGCCGAGGAGGGCCACGTCATGGGGGACACGCCTGAGAGGCCACCTCAGTTGGGAGCCTGATGCCTGGCTATCCGTGTGGGTGACAGGAAGGCCGGGCTCCGCAGGGAGAGGGCGTGCTGGGAAGCTTGGATAAGGAGCTGGCGGCCTGCCAGGAGGGCGGGGAGGGCGGCCCCAAGCCAAGGGAGGCCGAGGCCGCAGTTACAGCCCGCCAGCCTGCAGTGTGCACGCCGCCCCGATGGCTCCGGACCCTAATGGTCGCCGGAGCCTCCTGCTGCTCACCTGCTGCCTTGCCGCTGCGCACGCCCAGCTGGATTGGCTGTGGCCTTCCAATTCAGGCAACTCGAGGAAGCTGGCCTCTGAACCCCCGAGCTACACACCTGCACGGCCCATAGCAGAGACCACCACGCAAGTGGAGCCCCAGGATGCCCCCCTGGAGCAGGTGACTGTCCCCGCTGTCCCTGAGCCACCCCCAGAGGGACGGGAAACTGGCCAGGGCGGGACCCCCTCTGCCCTCCCCGTGATCCCGGACGATCGGGAGGAGAACATCGCTGGTGTGGGAGCCAGGATCCTGAATGTGGCTGAAGGCATCCGGAGTTTCATCCAGCTGTGGAGCGATACCAGCCCCACCAAGGGCCCCGCCGGGGCAAGTACATTGGCCCCTGAAGCCTCCCAGGACCGCCTCACCCTTCCTGAGACCTCTGGCAGCCCTGCAGGGGGCTGGCTGAGCAGCACATCCCCCAGCTCACAGGACACCCTGAGGACCCATCCCAGCATCCAGCCAGGCCCCACCCAGCTGCTCTCCTCCCCGGACAGGCCCCGGACCCCTCTCAGGGAGCCCTCGGTGCCCCTCCTGTCTCCAGGTAGAGCTGCTTCCCCCCGCTTGCCCGGATGGCCCCAGCAACTGGACAGTGGAGAACTGCCCACAGCCACCCTGCCTAGCCAGCAGCACAAGCACCCTGATGCTCCCCGTCGCACCCCTCGACTGCTCCCCTTGGTGATGGGTTCTTCTCACGCTGCCACCTCCGCCCTATCGGCTGACCGCTCGGGCCCGAGGGGTTGGGGGCTCCTGCTTGACGACCCCGGTGGCGGGGGCGGCCCCATGCCAAAGGACCACCTGGCTGATAGGTCTCCAGTTGAATCTCTAATCAGGGACCATGGTGATTGGGTTTCTCACGTGGCTAATTCTCCCGGTCCTGGTCTCGCTAACGCCTCCAAACCGCTTGCCTCCGCCGGGCAGCCCAAAGGCCACTGCCGGCCCCTGCCGCCCTCGCTGCAGCCCTGCCGGCCCCTGGGCATTGCCGGTGCCTGGCTGCCCAACCATCTCGGCCATGAGAGCGAGGAGGAGGTGCAGGCAGCTGTGCTGCCCTGGGGGGGCCTCCTCCAGTCCAGCTGCCACCACTTCCTGGGGTGGTTCTTCTGCCTGCTGCTGGCCCCCCCTTGCAGCGTCGCCCCTCTGCCTGGCCCACCACCCTGCCGCCAGTTCTGCGAGGCCCTGGAAGATGCATGCTAGAGCCACGTGGAGGGCGGCAGGCTGCCCGTGGCCTGCGCCTCGCTGCCCACCCAGGAGGATGGGTACTGTGTGTTCATTGGGGCGGCCGAAGGTAACGGCCTGCTGACCGCCCTCGCCTTTTAGCTACTCGAAACTTGGGCTCAGAGACCCTCTCGGCACCCCTACCCGCCCGGCACTGAGCTGGGGCCAGGCAGCCTGTGTGTTCAGGGCTCTCTGAACCCTCCAGGAGGTGGGGATGGCTGATAGGACCCCTCTCATCAGAAAAGCTGAGGGCAAAGGTGCTTTCAACACCGCCAGGGACTCCCTCGGCATCTTAGATCTCATGGTCCTCAGCCCAGTCCGAGGCAGCCCCAGGTGTCCCCAGCCACAGAGAGAAACAAGCATGGTCACTCGCACAGCCTGTGGAGAGGGGGGAGGGAGGGAGAGCTCACATGCAGGAGGGACTCTGTTCCTGACCTTCCAGGGACCCAAAGAAGCCCCACCCCCTGAGGTAGTCCCTCCCCCAGGTGCTGCGAGTCTGTCCCACTCCCCAGCAGCTGTTTGCACTTGGTGGCCTTGACCCTGGGGCGGATCTGCCCCACTGCGGTGTGCCGTGTGGACAGTGTGCCATGTGGACAAACACCCTTGATCCCCTCCAGCGGCCCTGTGGGCACTGGGCAGGGCCAGACTGGCAGGGGAGGCAGCGCCAAGGTTTGGGGGGAAATTCTTGGATCTGATGGCCTGCAGACCCTCGCACGTGGGCCCCTCATAAGGCGTGGGTGTGGGGAGCCAGAATCCAGCGAGGCAGGCTGCTGCCATTGGGGTGTGCTGCGAGGGAAGGATCCAAGGATTGGGCGGCTCTGGACATAAGAGAGAGGTGCACAGGGATTGGGGGCAGGGGTGGATAAGAGGGTTGCTTGCAGAACAGCAAGGCCCAGTGTCCAGCTGGGCAGCACCCAGGTGCAGCGAAGGTAGGAGGAGCGAGGGGCCTTGCTCAGGCCCTGGGCCATTTGTGCACTCTGCCACCCAGCAGCCCCTCCCCCAGCATGTGGGGCAGGGGGCAGCCTGAAGTGGGCACCCTGCCAGGGGGATGCAGCAAGAAGAAGGCCGAGTGCCAGGCCCTGAGCTGGCCTGGCCCCACCCTACCCACCCAGGCCTGAGGCTCACTCAGCAGGGTACCAGAGACAGACTGGGGATGCGGTTGCCACCGCCCAGTGGGCTTGTCCAGGGAGAGGTTAGAGTCGGTGCCTGGACCCTGAGACCCCAGTACAGGCCTGGAAGGGTAGCATTTCAGATGGGGGCAGGGACCCATCCTCATCCTCATCGTCCGCCAGCCAGAGCAGTTGCCCATTTCTGGTAGAGCTCAGACCCCGGGGAGGGTTGGGGTTCTACCAGGCTAGGGCCTTGGGGGCCCTGCTGGAATCCAGTTCCAGCCGTTCTCCCAGGCTGGGCTTTGTGGGGCAGGCCTTTCTCCCACAGCCACTGGCCCAACTGGCCTGGAGGCCCGGAGGCCAGGAGCACTTCTGAGCGAACCTCTGGCCACATTGGCCATCTCCCCTGCTGCCAGGAGGCTGAGTCCTGAGCAGAGGCCTGGGGGACTCTTGCAGGCAGCTGCGGCCTGGAGAAGGCCTGGGCCTGACCTCCCGCAGGGGCCAGGCAAGGTCTGTCCCCTCCTCCACCCTTCCCTCAAGGTTGCTTCTCCCCAAGGTCCCCCACTGGTCCCTGCAAGGACCTGAGTGGGGGCAGGAAGAAGAGGGCACCCCAGTCCCTTTCCCCTACTGTCTCAGTTCTCGGAGGGGTCGCTGGGTTATCTGCTGCACCCACGACAGTCCCCTGCTCTCCTATCTCCTGTCCTTGGGTCTGCCTGGACATCACCATGGCCCCAAACCAGAGAGGCATGTGTCTCTGAGGGAGGGGGTGCCCCTCCGCAGGCACCAGCTCTCCTCCTGAACAGCCTCCTCTCTCTGCACGTACACCCTCACTTTTGGGGCCACAAACCCTGGTCCCCAAACACCAGCCCTGAGATGAAAGCTTCATGCTTCCCCAGGAGAGTGCAGGTATGAGGGGGAGGGCCTGGTCAATGGGCATGGGCTGTGTGCAAGTACCAGAGGTGGGGGAGGGTCAGAAGAAGGGTCAACCTGCCTGGCTTTCGGTCAGCACTCTTCCGGGGCCCAGTGTGGGTGCTGCTGGCCATGTAGAAAGAAATGAGACCAAGGAGCCCACGGGGAGTGGGGACCGCATGCTAAGGTCGGTCAGCAGGGGGACAGGCCCTCCTGCCCTCCCCCCACTTCCTCTAGGAACCCCTCCCCTCCCCCACCAGTGCTGCCCACTCAATGATGGGGCAGGGGGGGCACTATGCTCCAGCAGATTGAGCCGGAGCCCCGGCGGGGTCCTGCTCTTGTGGTGACGGTTCATTGCTGCCCTACCCACTCCCAGCGTGGAGGGTTCCTGGGGTGGGGGTGGGGGTGGGAGTGCTCTGAGGTCCCAGCAGTCCTCTGTAAAAGCTCCTCATTCATTGGTCACAGCCCTCACCTGCTGACCTCCTGCCCACACGCACCTGCGCAATGGCAGGCCTTGTAAGTGCGGATCAGAGGCGGGAGATGAGCTGCTCCTCAGGAAGAGGTGTGGTCTGCGTGCCTCTCATGTCGCCGCATCCTCCCGGGGAATGAGCCATTCAGATCTGCTCAGCTCGCTCTCCAGAATTAAGGCTCCAGGGCGCTGACTGGCTCTGAGGGGCTGTTCAGACGAGGTGAGGGGCGAAAACCAAGACTGAGCCCTACTGTGTCCCAACTCCTGACACCTGTGAAGTTTGCCTGACCTGAGTGAGTCTTTGCAGGTGTGACCAAGTGATGGGTCTCTAGAGGGAAGCCTGTCCTGTGTCACAGGATGAGGGACTTGCTCTTCATGGGAGTAGAAAGCCTCATCTTTCCCCCGAGGAGCAGCTGGGGGTTTTGAGCTCATCAAGTAGCTCAGCACCCCAGAGAGAAGCAGGGGTCCCGCCCACAGAGCACAGGCCGTGTGACCAGGAAGGCAGCCAGGCAGTCCTGTAGCCATGAGGTCAGCCCTCTCCTAGAGCCTCAGAGGCAGCATGGCCCTGGCCACCCCTTGATATCACCCAGTGAAACACCCCGGCTATACACTCCTGGTCTCCAGGCCTGTACCAGGACTGTCTGCCGGGCTGAGCCCTCGTCCCCGGCTGGGCATTCTCTGAGGCAGCCCCAGGACAACCCCTCAGTGGGTCTGCTTGTCCTCCAGAGCCACCCTGTCCACTGTGCCCTGCTGGGCACGTGATCCCATGTGCATCTGACCCATCCTGCCATACTAGTGGGGCCACCACATTCATAGGGGGTCCTTGGGGACCCCCACCTGATGGGCAGTGCAGGGATGGGGCGTCAGAAGATCCCAGGGCATCAGTCTACCCACGCACAGTGGCAGGCCACACTGGGCACTCTGAGCTTTGCCCTCGACACCCTCCCCCACCTTCTCTCAGACTCTTCCTGCACCCCAGAAACTGCCGTGAGAACAACAGGCACTGATGGAGCACTAGGCGGTTTTGTGTGTGTGTGAGTGTGTGTGTGTGTGTGTGTGTGTGTGTATCTTCTCATCCTCCCGCCGCCTACTGAATGGGGGAGGCCCGATGGGATGGGGGACAGGTGACTGGCTGCACCCACCCTGCGAGAGCAGAGACAGGGACAGTCACCAAGACGGTCAGTTGTGCCAGGAGGCATAGCAGGGGCATGGGTAGGGCCAGGGTCTGGCCTGGGTACTCAGAGAGGGTGGCTTCCTACTTGTGGGGGGGTGGGGTCTCTCCACTCAACTGCACAATCAGGGGTCTCTCCATGTGGCACCCTGAGGCCTCATCCTCTATCAGGTCCCTGAGGGGACAGCTGTGAGTCCCTCTGGAAACCCCAGGTGGTGCAGACAGTTGATGTGTTCGGTCACCCGAGGGGCACTCTCACGCCAGCCTGCGGGGCTGGTGCGCTGAGGCCTCCTGGCTGCGGGGTTCAGCTCTGGTTCCTTTGATCAAATGTAGAACTTTGGGAAAGTGTCCCTGTTGCTCATAATGCTTCGGTCCCCTGGAGCTGCTGTTTAACTTTGGGTTCAGAGGGAACAAGACCACCTCAGTGGGAAAGGAGTGGCTCTTATCTCAGGCCACCTGACAGCCTACAGCTCTGGAGCTAAGCTCCCCACAGGTCTCTCATCAGCCCCCCTGGGAGGGCTCTGTGTGTAGCTCTTGGTGGGGCGTCGTCCGTGAAGGACAGCAGGGGAGGCAGTCGGTGTGGTCAGGTCACAATTGTGGGCTTAGCCAGACAGACAAGAGAATGAAAGCCCCACCCGCCTCCCGCTTCCCACAAGCCCTTTCCTTGGCTG